CACATCCCACACTGGAGGATGTGGGTTCAGTTCCCAGCTCTGACTCCTGACTCCGGCTTCCTGCCGACACAAACACTGACAGGCAGCAGATGATGACACAGTAATTGGGTTCCTGCCACTCACATGGGAGACCTGCATTAATTTTCCAGTTTCTGGGCCAGCCCAGCCCTAGCCATTGTAGACATTCAGGGAGTAGCCACCAGATAAAAACTCTGTTCCTTCCTTCCTCCCTTTCTCTCTCTCTCTCTCTCTCATTCACACACACTCTCTCTCTTTCCCTTCTTCCTTCCCTCCTTCCCTTTTAAGTGAATAAAATACAAATGCTATTCTATTTCACAATAAGGTGACTATAGATAACAACAATGTATTGTATATTTTTCTTATTAAAAACAAATAGAAGAATGGATTTTAAGTGTTATCACCATAAAGAAACGTTGAACGTTTGAGAGCTAGATCTGTTTACTTTGATTGAACATTACACAGCGGATACATATATCAGAACATTACCTTGTGTGGTGAGCATCTGGCCTATCGTTAAGATGCCCACATCCTGTATTGGCATGCCTCAGTTCAAGTCCAGCTTGTTTCTAATGCACACCCTGGGAGGCAACAGGTACTGGCTCCCATGTGGAAGACCCAGATGGAATTCCTTACTCCTAGCTTCAACCTTGCCCAGCCCATGCCTTTCAAGTAGATGAACATAAATAAACATTCCTTAAAAGATTATATCCTTAGGGCCAGGGTTGTGGCACAGTGGGTTAAGCCACTGCCTTCAGCCCTGGCATCCCATATAAGCACCAGTTCAAGTTCTGGCTACTCTGCTTCTGATCGCACTCCCTGCTAATATGCCTGGGAAAACAATGAAAGGTGGCTCAAGTGCTTAGGCTTCTGCCACCCACAAGGGCAACCTGGATAGAGTTCTGACTTCATCCTGGCCCGCCATAGCCATCGTGGCCATTTGGAGAGTGAAACAGGGTGGAAAATGTTCTCTCTCTCTTTCTCTCTCTGTAATTCTGCCTTTCAAAAAAATAACTCTTTTAAAATGAAAGAAAAAACTAAGCTGTTTAAAAAATTATATCCTTAACAGATATTAATATCTAATCCTCAATTTCATTATGCTTGTCATTTGACTTATATTATCCACATATTACCAGATTTAGGTTATATTCATTTTCTTTTTTTTCTTTATTTTAAAATATTTATTTATATGTATGAAAGGCAGAGTTACAGAGAGAAAAAGAGAGATCCTCTATCTGCTGGTTCATTCCCCAAATGGTTACAACAGCCGGAGCTGGGCCAATCTGAAGCCAGAAGCCTTTTCTGGGTCTCCCACATGGGTGCAGGGGCCCAGGCACTTGGACCTTCCACTGCTTTCCTAGGTGCATTATCAGGGAGCTGGATCAGAAGTGGAGCAGCCAGGACTTTACCCACTAAGCCGCAGCACCAGCCCCAGTTGTATTCATTTTCATTTGTTAATAATCCCTAATGTTGGCCGGCGCTGCGGTTCACTAGGCTAATCCTTCGCCTTGTGGCGCCGGCACACTGGGTTCTAGTCCCAGTCGGGGCACCAGATTGTGTCCCAGTTGCCCCTCTTCCAGGCCAGCTCTCTGCTGTGGCCCGGGAGTGCAGTGGAGGATGGTCCAAGTCCTTGGGCCCTGCACCCCATGGGAGACCAGGATAAGTACCTGGCTCCTGCCATCGGATCAGCACAGTGCACCGGCCGCAGCGGCCATTGGAGGGTGAACCAACTGCAAAAGGAACCTTTCTCTCTGTCTCTCTCTCTCACTGTCCACTCTGCCTGTCAAAAAAATAAAAATAAAAAATCCCTAATTGTGGGGAGCAATCCGGACTGGACTAAGTTACTGAAATTAAGACTTATTCTATGCATCTGCTCTCCCACAATATGGCGCTGGGAGAGAAGTAAACAGCTTCCGCACAGCTGCCTCCAGTTCAGCTAATAAACTGTAGGACTTGCTCCTGATTGGAGAGCAGCGTACTTGGCGTGTGGGCAGCCGAGTTAGGATTGGCGGAGGAGGACTATAAAGGAGGAGAGAGACGGCATGCACCAGGAACATCTAAGGGGAACATCTAGCTGAAGGAACACCCGTGCAGCCCCCGAGAAAGCCGGCCGGCGGTGTGCCGCTCCCCTGCGGAAGTGGGGAATGCGGCCAGGGGGAACTGCCCTTCCACGGAGGTGGAAGGGATAGTAGCCAACCCGGGAAGAACCAGCAGCAAACCCGGGGAGGGCCGAGCAGACGAAAGAACAGCGCAGGGTCCTGTGTCGTTCCTCCACGAAGAGGGGGAGCGACATAATGGTGCCGTGACTCGGATAGGAAACCTAGAACGGATAGCAAACTTAGGAGGGAAGAAACGGGAAGAACTGGGAAATTACCGGAGAGAGAGACTAGCAAACAGCCTAGGGAAAAGCCGGACGAAAAGGGTGCCGGAAGAAGCTGTTGAAAGCCTAGGCATAGACTCGTATACGGACTACGGGGGGAAGCTGGGAGAAATCTCTAAGGTCGAAAGCGAAAGTGAAAGCTAGAACAAACAGACTCGGACTGTGGGGAGAGGCCAGGAGAAATGAGGGAGGAATATTGTTGGAAGAAAACTTAAGGAAACATACCGGGTAGAGAAAAGTGTTAGGGAAATTGAAGCCGCGGGGGGCAGGCCAAGGCGGAAACGAAAGCCACTTTGGGGTTCCCAAGTTAGCCCGGGAATAGGGGGCGAAAAGTTGAAACCAGAAGCTGAGACGTAAGCCAGATTGGGATCCGTCTGATTAGCCCGGGGAGCAAAGGACGGGAAGCCAAATCATGGGGCGGAGACGTGCGCTGGGTTGAATTCGCCAGGCTAGCCCGGGGAACTTAGATTGAATGCTAGTGGCGGACACGTAAGCTACGCTGTGTTACTCGCGGAAGCCGCCGCGTGCAGAGAGAGCACGGGGCGTGAATAGATAGGGAACGGGGCTGGCGCGAGGCCGTGGTGCGGGCGCGAAGTGCGTGGAGACCGCGGAGCGTGCGCGCAGAGCCGGGAACCCGCCGGCGGGGCGAGGCACCGGGAAGCCGCGCAGAGCCGTGAAGCTGCCGCGGGGCGAGGTGCCGAGAAGCTGCTACGGGGCGAGGTGCCGAGAAGCAGCCTCGGGGCGAGCGCCGCCGGGAAGCCGCAGGGATAAGAGAAACAGAAGTTTAGAAATAAAATGAGAAGAAATAAGAATGCTGGGAGATAGAAGTAAAATGGGAGAAATAGGAATGCCCGGAGATAGAGAAATAGAGAAAAATAAGGCCTCCCCTCAACATGGCAATGAGAAAGCTTGGATTCGGTCTGCCTGATTAAGTGAGGCGATGAGCACCTGGGCGGCTAGCAGCTTATGCGCCGCAGGTCACCGAAGACAGGCACGAATTAACATCAGTAAGGCTTCCCCACAATACCGCAATTAGAAGGCTTGGATTCGGTCTGCCTAATTAAGGCGGTAAGCGCCAGCAGGCAGCTCGACCAGAGTGTGAGCCGCAGGTCACCGAACACAGGCACGCATCAGCGCCTAAAAACCTCCTCACAACATGGCGAAGAGAGGACCCGGATTCGGTTTGCCTGATTGTAAGAACCTGTGGCAACTCTAGCAAGTAGAGCAGAGTGTGTGCTGCGGGACACCGAAGACAGGCGCGTATCAACGCCAAAAATAAAAAGAAAGGGGGATCTGTGGGGAGCAATCCGGACTGGACTAAGTTACTGAAATTAAGACTTATTCTATGCATCTGCTCTCCCACAATATGGCGCTGGGAGAGAAGTAAACAGCTTCCGCACAGCTGCCTCCAGTTCAGCTAATAAACTGTAGGACTTGCTCCTGATTGGAGAGCAGCGTACTTGGCGTGTGGGCAGCCGAGTTAGGATTGGCGGAGGAGGACTATAAAGGAGGAGAGAGACGGCATGCACCAGGAACATCTAAGGGGAACATCTAGCTGAAGGAACACCCGTGCAGCCCCCGAGAAAGCCGGCCGGCGGTGTGCCGCTCCCCTGCGGAAGTGGGGAATGCGGCCAGGGGGAACTGCCCTTCCACGGAGGTGGAAGGGATAGTAGCCAACCCGGGAAGAACCAGCAGCAAACCCGGGGAGGGCCGAGCAGACGAAAGAACAGCGCAGGGTCCTGTGTCGTTCCTCCACGAAGAGGGGGAGCGACACCTAATGTTCTTTTTTTGGTTCAAAATTTTTTTTCTAAAATATCCTCTCCCCCTTTGTTCCCTCATAGAAGATTTAATTACTTATGAATTGTTAGAAGGCTCATTTTATTTAACCTACTGAATTATTAGAATTCAAAAGTATTTGTGTGTCAAAGTTTCAAAATATATATGCTTTAATGTTGACTTTGTTTCCAGTAAACTGAAACAGAAATCGCGGCACAGAAACACCCTGCTTTTCTGTGTTTTGATGAATTGTGTCTCTGTTCTCACTTTACTGTTAGAGAGGACCAGTCTGTTTTCATGTGATATAAGTGAATTGAATCATGTTCCTTTCTTTCACACATTTGCCCAATTCCCAGCTGACCTCTGGGTAGAGGTAATCTTTAGCTATGTGATATGCAGTACAAGCAGTAGAGCTGCTCGCGGGCAGTCTCACTGAAATTCGGGGAACGGGAGGGAGTTGCTGCTTGCTGACTTAAATGCATCCGAGAAGCACAACAGTTCTTTCAAATAGGTGAAAAAATGTGTAGAAAGTCACATTTGCTTACTTAGTGGGCTGTCTACTTTCTGTTGTACTGTATATCTATAGTATAAGCTTGTGTTTGTGGCTGTTAAATATGAGGTTTTGGAATGTGTTTTTAGTTTGCAACATTCTGAGGATGCAATTGCAACACCTTTGGGAGTGCAACAACCATGATTATGCTTAGAATATTTATTGGTCAAAATGAAGTGAGGCCGACCTGTTGGAAGCTTTGTGTTGCTTTTTTTGATTAGTTTGTGTAATAATACATTCTAACAATGACCTTTCATATAATTTCTTCCCTTATAGCTCGGTGCTAACAGTGGTTTGCACATCATCATATTTGATGAAATCGATGCCATTTGCAAGCAGAGAGGAAGCATGGCTGGTAGTACAGGAGTTCATGACACCGTTGTCAACCAGTTACTGTCCAAAATTGATGGGGTAGAGCAGCTGAACAACATCCTCGTCATCGGTATGTTCACTTTTTTTTTTCACAAGAATATTAGATATATAAATTCTGAATTCTGTGTAGGTTGTAATTAAACGATTTTGCCAATGTTTCGAAATGAGAATCAAGTGATTTTGAACTTGACTATTCTGATATCTAGGCTTAATAGGGAAATAAATGAAAGGTGGGTTTAATGACCTGTAGGTTGAAGCCTGCAGCTCATCCACAGATGGAAACAACAGCACAATGTAATGCAGTAGTTTTCTTTTTTTTTTTTTTTAAGATTTATTTGTTTATTTGAAAGTCAGAGTTACACAGTTACTCAGAGAGAGAGAGAGGTCTTCCATCCGATGGGTCACTCCCCAGTTGACCGCAATGGCCAGAGCTGTGCTGATCCGAAGCCAGGAGCCAGGAGCTTCTTCCAGGTCTCTCACGTGGGTGCAGGGGCCCAAGGCCTTGGGCCACTCTCTACTGTTTTCCCAGGCCATAGCAGAGAGCTGGATTGAAAGTAAAACAGCCAGGTCTCGAACCGGTGCCCATATGAGATGCCGGCACTTCAGCCCAGGGCGTTAACCCACTGAGCCACAGCACCGGCCCCACAGTAGTTTTCATACTGAGTCCTTGGCCTCCAAGTGCCCTGAGAGGTATTTCAGGGTCACTGAGGGCCAGAGAGTGAGCCCCGAAAACTGTACCGTTATTATAACTTCTTTTAACTTTTTATGTACTGAGCTTTTTCTAAAGATGACTTTAAAAATAAAACTGGTATTTAAAAAAAAAAAAAAAACCTCTGGCCTATAAAAAAGGGAGAGGAGTTTGGAGTTTGTGTGCACTTTGCCCCTTGGTCTCTTTGACAGGTTACCTACCATCTCTGCACCTTAGCTTTTCTTTGTAAATATTGGGAATTTCCAGTACACTGAGTTCCACTGACTTACAATAGTAAAGTACTAAAGCACAGCCTCCAGATGTTTCCATAGAACAGACCAGGAGCAGGTGCTGTTTTCCTTGAGAACAACTTGGCTTTCTATTTGACCTGTATAGAATGTCCTCTTAGGGCCGGCGCCGCGGCTCACTAGGCTAATCCTCCGCCTAGCGGCGCTGGCACACTGGGTTCTAGTCCCGGTCGGGGCGCCGGATTCTGTCCCGGTTGCCCCTCTTCCAGGCCAGCTCTCTGCTGTGGCCAGGGAATGCAGTGGAGGATGGCCCAAGTGCTTGGGCCCTGCACCCCATGGGAGACCAGGAAAAGCACCTGGCTCCTGGCTCCTGCCATCGGATCAGCGCGGTGCGCCGGCCGCAGCGCGCCGGCCGTGGCGGCCATTGGAGGGTGAACCAACGGCAAAGGAAGACCTTTCTCTCTGTCTCTCTCTCTCACTGTCCACTCTGCCTGTCAAAAAAAAAAAAAAAAAAAAGAATGTCCTCTTAGTTTGTTATGGGACTTTCTGTTATTGCATATACGAAAGGGATATTTTATCTTATTGGTGAACTCTGTTTGTTGTTTTGTTTTTAACCTCTGTGCTCAGGAATGACCAACAGACCAGATCTGATAGATGAGGCTCTCCTTCGACCTGGAAGACTGGAGGTCAAGATGGAGATTGGTAAGCAGAGCTGTCGCTCGGGCGTGTGGATAGCAGAGCATGGCGGGTGGTGTTCAGAGTTCATTAACAGGAGTGATGTCACGTAACTGTGAGAAGCAGGCGGTTCCACGTGTGAGTACCCCTAAGAGAAGCATTGAAGTTAGAATAATCTCTTCTGGTGGTGCTTTCAAGACTAGGAAGATGTCCGTCTTATTTTTAATTGTATCAGGCTTGCCAGACGAGAAAGGTCGGCTGCAGATCCTGCACATCCACACGGCGAGGATGCGAGGGCATCAGTTACTGTCTGCTGACGTAGACATCAAAGAACTGGCCGTGGAGACCAAGAACTTCAGCGGTGCTGAATTGGAGGGCCTGGTGCGCGCAGCACAGTCCACTGCTATGAACAGACACATAAAGGTCAGCAAAGTCAATCAGGCATTGGCAGCCCTATAAATATTACACCAGCATTTTCTGTCTTTCCAAAGGCCAGGGTAATGGTAATCTGGATGGAGAAGAGAGATCATAAGAGGAATAAGAATTAATTGTCTACTGCCAACTGTTACTCTTCAGAGTAACAGGAAGAAATGTAATGTCAGCATCTTCCCTGTAGTAACCACTGGCTCAGTGGTTACATCAGATTGCCACCGTCTGACTACTGACGTATGACGTGAAGTTGCTTTTGTTTTTTTAAGATTTATTTTGTTTATTTAAAACACAGAGTTAGAGAGAAGGAGAGACAGAGCTATCTTCCATCTGCTGATTCACTCCTCAAATGGCCACAATGCAGAGCTGGGCTGGGCTGGGCCAGGCTGAAGTCAGAACTCCATCCTGGTCTCCCACATGCGTGCAGGAACCCAAATACTTGTTTCATCATCCGCTGCTTTTCCAGGCACATTCACAGGGAACTGGATCAGAAGTGGAGCAGCCAAGACTCGAACTGGTACTCATATGGCATGCTGGCATTGCAGGTGGTGACTTAACCCACTGTGCCACAACACCGGCGCCTAAGTGAATATTTTGAGGAGACTTTTATATCTTATGCATCGTATTAAATTGTAACAACTCATAGAAAATTGGCTTTTCTGTGAACTATAAATATAAACGAATACACTGAATACAGCTTTTTTCAAGGTAATAGACTAGAGAATCAAAGACAATAAATTTTGAACTCTCAAGGAGTTCAAGAAGCAGATATGTTTACAAATTACTACAAAAATGCTTTTGGTACTATGGTAGACATATGTACAAGGATACTCGCCTTTTGATCAATAAAGGACTCTTGATCCTTTACTGTCTGCTCTCTACTTTAGATTTGTTTATTTTTAAAGATTTATTTATTAAAGTTACTGGGAGAGAAAGATCTTCCATTCACTGACTGGTTCACTCCCCAAATGTCCACAACAGCCAGGGCTAGCCCAAGCCAAAGCCAGAAACCAAGAGTTTCATGTGGGTGCAGGAGCCCAAATACTTGGACCATCTTCTGCTTTTCCCAGGCCATTAGCAGGGAGTTGGATCAGAAGTAGAGCAGCCAGGACACTGATTTGCTCCCATATGGAATGCCGGTGTCATAGATGGCAGCTTTATTTGCTGTGCCACAAAGCTGGCCCCAGCTTAGATTTTAGCTGTCAGCTGTAGATAGATGCCTTCCAGATATCTCATCTCCTGAAATTATCTGTCTCTCACTTTTCAGATTCATACTAAATGCCCCTAGTAATTCCAAAGCCAAATTTATTCTTTTTTTACTACTTTTCTTCCGGTTCCTATGCCCCTGTATATCTCAATTTCCAAGGCTTAAAACTTCAGGATAATTTTTGATTCCTGGCACTCTACATAATGTTCAATGTCAAGTCATTTGCATCATTTTGTCACTTCTGACTTATCAGTATCTTTCAGTTCCCACTGCCATCATCCACCTTCTCTTTGATTAACCTTCTTGTTTTATGTCATTCTCCCATGCCTAACTCCCCATCATCTACAAAACAAAGTACAGACTTTTTAGCATGGTGTTTAAACTTCCTTCACTCTGACCTTAACTGACTTTTCATATTTCCCAGTTAATTCTCCATATACTTCAGCCAAACTGAAATACTGACCAATCACCAGACATTGTTTTCAACTTCTGCTTCTGCTTCTACTTCTTTGGCTTCAGGGAGGATCTGTACCTGCTATGCTTACTGGTCTTTTCATTACCTGGCTCATACGCTACCACTTTCCTCAAAAGTTTTCTGGTTCTCCCTTTCAAGAAAGATGCACTCTCTTCTTTCTTGAAATAATAATGTGTTGTATGCAGTACCTTCGGTTGAATTTGAGTCAAAATAAACTTCAGCACCTACTGCATGCCAGAAATCATGCTAGAAATTAGAGCTACCACTGCAGAGAAGAAAAGCAGATGGGTGCCTGCTGTTGAGCAGTCCACATGCAGTAACAGGAGGTCCGTGTAAGGTAAGGGAGTGGGAGGGTGTCAGTCGCTCAACTTGTGGGGTGAGAAAAGCCCACACAGAGCAATATCCTCGGTGGATAGGAAGGCCTCTTGGTGGGCAAGGAACAGACACTAATAGCCCGGTGTGCTGGAGTAATTGAGTGTTGCTTCAGCACAGGAGTGAGCAAGGGAGTGATGCGGGAGGGAGGGAGGGGATAAGTCAGGAGACAAAGCAGGGGTTGGAGCACAAAGGGTCTTTTATGCTCTGCTAAGAAGTATGGACTTTTTTCCTGTGAGTGGTGCTAAGCCATTGAAGAGTTTGGAGAATAGCAGTGACAGTTAAAACATAAGATCACCCTGGCAGCTTTGTCGATTGCAGTATTTAGGAGTGGAGTTGGTGACACAAGACTAGAGAGGGGAGCTTTTATAACAGTTCAGGCGGGAGATAATAAGATCCTGAACAGTTAGGTTGAGTGTGTTGTAGTCATTTGGTTGCATCCTATCAAAGGGTCTAGTCCATGAGTCAGCAAACTAGGGCCTGAGGACCAAATTCAGCCAGTGGTTATTTATAGAATGTTTTTGTTCAAAATATTTATGTGTGTATGTATTCATTTATTCATTTTATTTTGTAAAAGTTTATTTTTATTTGAAAGGCAGAGTTAGAGAGAGAGACAGAGAGACAGAGAGAAAGATCTTCCATCTGCTGGTTCACTCCCCAAATGGCCACAATAACTGAGGCAGGACCAGTCTGAAGCCAGGAGCCAGGAGCTTCTTCCGGGTTTCCCACATGGGCATAGGGGCCCAAGCACTTGGGCCATCTTCTGCTGCTTTCCCAGGTGCATTGGAGGGAGCGGGATCACAAGTGAAGCAGCTGGGACTTGAACTGGCGCCCATAGGGGAAGCTAACGTTGCAGGCAGCAGCTTAACATACTACACCACAGCTCTGGCCACTCATTTTATCTTATTTTATTTTATTTTAAGATAGAAAAAATAGAGTGGTATCCTATCCTCTGACTCATTTGCCAGATGCCCACAGCAGCCAGGGCTGGGTTAGGCTCAAGCCAGGAACAGAGAACTCAATTCTGCTCTCTCATGTGGATATCAGAGACTCAACTATTGAGCGAGCACCTGCTGCTTTCCAAGGTGTGCATCAGCAGGAAGCTGGACTCGAGAGAGGAGCAGGGACTCAAACCCAGGCACCCAGAGATGGTGTGCAGTCATGGGAGTGACGTCTAAACTGCTGCACCACCAGGTCTTGCCCCAATTTTTAAAAACTACAACCACACCTTTTAACTTATTTGTGAGTATTGTCCGTGGCTGCTTTCATGTTGCAGTGATGGGTTGAGTGTTTACAACAGAGACTGCATGGCCCACAAAGCCCAAAATATAGGTCCTTTTTAGGAAAAATGTGTCAATCTCTATTCTAGACATTATTTCCATTTTGTATTCATTTCTGAATCCACTAAAGTGCCTCAAATAGATCTAAATACTGAGTACATGGTAGGTGTTTGATAAATAATTTTTAGGCCGGCGCCGCGGCTCACTAGGCTAATCCTCCGCCTAGCGGCGCCGGCACACCGGGTTCTAGTCCCGGTCGGGGCGCCGGATTCTGTCCCGGTTGCCCCTCTTCCAGGCCAGCTCTCTGCTGTGGCCTGGGAGTGCAGTGGAGGATGGCCCAAGTGCTTGGGCCCTGCACCCCATGGGAGACCAGGAAAAGCACCTGGCTCCTGGCTCCTGCCATCGGATCAGCGCAGTGCACCGGCCGCGGCGGCCATTGGAAGGTGAACCAACGGCAAAGGAAGACCTTTCTCTCTGTCTCTCTCTCTCACTGTCCACTCTGCCTGTCAAAAAAAAAAAAAAAAAAAAAAAAAAAAAAAAAAAATTTTAAATAGGGGCCAGCATTGTAGCTCAAAGGGTTAAACTGCCACTTGAGATAACCACATCCCATATCAGACTGCTGGATTGAGTCTTGGCTACTCCCTTCCATTACAGCTTCCCTGCTAATGTAGTACTTCCCTAGGAAGTAGTGCATGATGGCTCAAGTACTTGAGTTTCTGCCACCCACACAGGAGACTCAGTTCCTGGCTCCTGGCTTCAACTTGACCCAGCTCCGGCTGTTGCAGCCATTTAGGGAGTAAACCAGCAGGTGGAAAAACTATCTCTCTGCCTTTTAAGTAAATAAGTCTTTGAAAATATAGTTAAAGTAAACTTACGTAGTATTCTGAAGCAAACTGTGTCAGTAAGTCATAATCTCTCTACATAATTAAAGTGATTTTGTTCTAGCTCAAAAAAGCCAAAGGTTTGTGTGGTATAAGAATATAGTATTGGATTCTTGAGTGTGTGTGTGTTAAATGTTTATTTTTATTTATTCGAAAGGCAGAGCAACAGAGAGAGAGATCTTTTCATCTACTGGTCCAGTCCCCAGGCTGAAGCCGAGAAACCAGAACTCCAGCCAGGTCTCCCATATGGGTGGTGGGAATCCAACCACCTGAACCATCACCTGCTGCCTCCAAGGTGCATTAGCAGGAAGCCAGAGCAGAAGTGGAGTTGGGACTCAAACCCAGGCACTCCTAATTTGAATTGCAGGCATCCCAACTGCGAGCTTAACCTGCTGTGCCACACCACCCACTGTACTGGCTTCTTTATAGAATGGATCTATTCATCCGTTCAGGGCCTACTTTTTATTCTTCCTCTTTGCCAAAGACATAGTAAGAAGAGAAAATGACTTTCAGAAAAATTATATAAATGTTGTAAAATTGCTCCCTAATAATAATCTTTCATCTCGCCACATGAATGCATCTTGATATATCCACATTAACTAGTGTTAACATTAAATTCTGTTAACGTTAACAGAATTTTACTTATTTCTCTTTTTTTTTTTTTCTTGACAGGCAGAGTTTGTGAGAGAGAGACAGAGACAAAGATCTTCTTCTGTTGGTTCAACCCCAAAATGGTCGCTATGGCCGGTGCACTGCACCGATCCAAAGCCAGGAGCCAG